GTTATGGTAATGGCTTGTACAGTGCATCATGGGGAAAATGCACAATTGAGTCCAGAGAAGCCCTCATAAAAATAACCCTAAACATTTGTGTTCAAAGAGTTTGCTTTTAATATTAATTTACCTCTTATAATTATTCCATTATTGTTCTTCAGTTTTCATTTCGAAGAGGCTTTGATCTGAGGAGGTTGTACAGAACTGAGATTTCAAATATTTTGTAGAAGCTGCCAGGACAAAGATCAAGCAGAAGGATGGCATTTGTTGATGTGCCCTTACTTTCCCTTTGAAAACTCAGAACAATGTTTTGTGGGGAAGGCAGATGACTTCAACCTACTGCGGAAATGCATGAATAAAAGCAGTCATTCCAGAGCGACCGCTCCAGTGGCTTAACCTTCAGCATCAGGACTAGCATACAAGGCACAGACACATAGAAAAAAGATGTGTGCTTCTGTATATATAGCATTTTATAATGTCTTTCAGACTGACATTGGGAACAGGGCTCTTTTGTATGTCAAACCTCATGTTTTAATGGATTTCCTATAAAACTATTCACCGATCATGGTATTCAAATCACAGCTCTAGCAAAACTGCCCCCTCTGATGGCGTCTGGAAGCGATCCTAGGAGGTACGCCACATCTAACGGCAGGCTGCACGCTCTTCCTTCAGCAACCATCAGGCTTTTTCCCTGTGGTGCGTGTGTGATCATTTATAGGGGGCTTAATCAACATGTATTTAGTGCATGTATTTTGTGAATCATTTTTATAGGCCCTGGTTACCCGATTCTGTGTACATAAGCCAAAGGTTGTGCCAGATCTGAACACGGAGCCAACAAAAAGGGCCACCGTGACATTCAAAGAAGGTGCTGTTGACCCTTATTTCACAAACTATTACAAGGTGCAGTAAATCAGAGACTAATAATGCTTGTAGAGCTTCATAGACTCTCAGTAAAAAAAAGTACAAAAGCTAACTGGGGCGGTATCGCATTGTAGTAGCACCTGAAGTGTACATATTTGTGTCTTTTGAAAAGGTAGTGCCTTAGTGACAGCTTTTGTCCCTTTTTTAGGCCCTCTGCCTATAGAAATTTGGTGCTACCATCCACTAATTATGTTTTGTACCCATGACTTCCCAGTGCCACCGGCCCTCTGACATCCGAGAGCTTTAACAGTACAAACAAGAATATGAAAATAACACTGAGAACATGGGGTTGGAGGAATGTATAAAGTCAGCAAGAAAAGAAAATCTCTTTGAAAGGGGAGCATAATCATTCTGAGAGCTCCAGTGTGTAACCTAAATAATACAGTTCAGGTTTTGATATAACTATTACTGCCTGGGAAGAGCGCTTTGAAGTTAATTGAAACCACTGGGCAGCAATCTTCTTTATAGCACTGACAAATAACAGTTTCCTCCAGCTTATCATTGAAGGTTAGGGCACAGGGAGACACATGCCTGTTCCATATGCCCACTCAATGCAAATAAAACTCAAAAGGCCTCCCTTTTCTCCCAGGCACACCATGGAGGACACTGAGAAAATAGTCACGGACAGGATGTGGGAAGGACAAAATTGGCCTTTCAGGTCGATCTTGAACAACAGCCTCAGTGTCTGACCCCCATTACTGTTTTAACCAGACTTTACCACCTCTTTAGAATAAACCACATCACAACTTGATGATGCTACATTAAAGCATAGGTGGCCCAATATACTGTATGACCTCAGAAGGAAACCTATTATTATTCAAAGGAGAGACTGCTTTTACTTACAAGCTGTTTTCCAAACCATGTAGCAGGTTCTGGTTCTAATATATGAGCCGAGCACAACAGTCACTAAATTTGTCTTTAATGTTCCTTATTGTTTTTCTGGCACAAGGGTCTTTTTCACCTTTGATTTCAGCCCAGTGCAGTCTCTCTCTCTCTCTTTTTTCTACATGCCTATATTTGTGGGGGTAAAACTCAGGGTTATCCACTGTCGATGTGCTGCACAATAACACATAACATCCCCCATGTTGAAAAGTGAGAACAGAGAATTGGCCAGACAAAAGACAAGGAGGATTTGATGAGCTGCAGGAGTTCAAAGTTTTCTGTCTCGCTCTATTTTTTTTCAAACCCCAGCTTGTACCACATCTGAAAGCGCACTGCCCCTCAACCTGCGTTTAAGTTGCTGATCACGTATTAAAAGTATTCTTGAACATGATGAGAGGGATGATTGGATGCAGAACGGGCTGACAGGCACCGGCTAAAAGACACAAGCCACCGCTGATGGGTCTGCGAAGTCCCAATGGTGAGCTTTCAAACAAGCCTTGATTGACAGGTGTAATATATGAAGAATGGTTTAACATGCACACACGAAAGAAACATTAATTGAATGATTGGATGTGAAGCACAAACAGACATGAACTTTTGTTTCCTAATAAAGCTATGACAGAATAATAATTTCCTTTCCATTAGCTTACAAAAGAATCCCCCATAGACACATGTGCTTATACTCATATCCATATGGAGCCACTTTGCTCAAGGTATTTTTCAAACACATATTTCCCTCCAAAGCCAAAAGAGAAGGGCGGAAATGTAGGTTATAAATAGGAATCAAAAGAGCCCTCCTGTTTATTGCAACAAGATGACAGAGACACCGAAATCTTTGAAAGTATGAGTGCTTTGAGCTTTTTACAAGACAGGTGAAGAGAACATATGCGTTCAATCTGCGTACCAGGCTCGCCTGGGTCGGCCCTATCATAAAAGAAGAGAGATTACAAAGAAGTCTAATGAAGACACTGATCAAAGTCTGTAATGCTAATACATAGCAGGTGTCTTGAAACCTTTTAATACCCCCCTGGCCCTCCGCGGGGCTCGTGCCTGTATATCTTTCACATGGCGGGTCCTTTTGTCGTCAGCTGAAACTGGGAACCAGCGGAGCGCTTTTCAACACCGCTTCACGTGCATTACGAGATATCTGTTGACCTCATACGCTCAGAGGGGGTTATGTCCATGTCATACACAAATGCTGCTACATATTCTATTACAGCTCAAAGGGGTGTTTTTGGAAAATGGAATATCCTGCTTTGGGGCCCTTCTTCAGCTGTACAGCACCTGGGCAAAAGCCGGAGAAGAGGTTGTAAGAGACCTGGAAAAGACTGACTTTTTGGAATACGCTCAAAGCACGATGACTATTTCTGCTTCTGATTTCCATTCAAGGCAAGGGCAAACTTCAGGATAGTACAGACAGTGGCTAAGCTGCTGTTTTAACTTGTGTTATTAAGTCCAATTATGGTATAGTATTAATAAAATACACCCCAATGTTAATTAAACTGCACACACCTGTGATCCTTGAGTCAAATCATAGTGATATAATCAGATGACAGTATGTACCCATATGTGTTATATAGCCTACATATTTTGGTCAAATTTGTCACATTACCAGAGAAATGCTCTCAGACAGCAAGTGCAGTGAGTTTGCTTCCTTCTTCTCTGAGTAAATCAATAATATCAGAAAGACGATCAGCACATCCTTAAGTTGTTAGACATATCAGACCACAACCTCAGAAAGTAGATATATGTCTGATTTCAAAGGAAATTGATAGCAAAATTTTGGGAAAAAAATGTACAGCCCTTAAAACATCAACCTGCACCCTTGATGCACTCCCACATCCTGCTTTTTACAAAAGCATTTTTAACTGTTTAGAAGCAGATTTCCTAGAAGATTATTCTCTTCTCTTTGGATGTTTCCAAACTCGCAGTTGGCTCTGCGATTGGCTCGCAGTTACATTTAGGATTGATTTTGAAGTATTATTACTGGTATATAAGTCATTCAATGGGCTAGGACCTCAATATATTAGATATGCTCACTGAAAATAAACAGATCACTCAGATCATTAGGATCACATCAGCTAGAAATACCAAGGGTTCACTCTAAGCATGGCGAGTCCGCTTTTAGCTAATATGCCTGCCGCAGAACCAGCTTCCAGAGGAGATCAGATGTGCTCCTAGTCACATTCAAATCCAGACTCAAAACACTTCTGTTTAGATGTGCATTTACTGAATGAGCACTGTGCACTGTTCCTCTGACTGTTTGCACTGTATTTCTTCCCTGTTCATTCTAAAGTGTTTTCATTATTATTTATTTTGATTTTAATTGCTTCAAAGCACTTTGAATTACCATTGTGTATGAAATGTGCTATACAAATAAACTTGCCTTGCCTTTGTTTTATTGTATTAATTTAGATATTCTTGAAAATGTCACAAAGCCTAGTCCCAGTAACACATTAAAGTTTTTTTTAAGAATAAGTATTTTTAAATCTCTCTTTCTCCCCCATATAATCAAAAGTTCAGTGAAATGTAGATTATTTTATGCATGAATATTTTGTATTTTTAACACACACACACACACACACACACACACACACACATTATTGCACTTTAATATTATTAAAAATACAGATTTTTTTTCATAGTATTGCATTTATTTAAATACTCTTAGAAAGGTCACGAAACCTGGTCCCAATACAGTGATGTTTATAACGTATTCTTTCTGCATGCAAGAAAAAAAAAGTCTGAATCACTTGGTTATACTACTTGAACTCTATTCTAAGCTGAGTTTCCCATTCCTCACTGCAGGGCAAGTCACTTTATCAGATAAGTTACATATTATTTATAAGACACATTTAGTAAAAGAATCAACCTTATAACATGACATCTACTAGCACTGCATGCGCATAATATCTGTTACCAACCTCTCTCAACACAACTGCGAAGCTATTTATCCACTTCCGGTTCTACTCAAATTACAAGCGTGGTTTTCCTGGCACGAGGATTCTGGGAAATGAAGTCCTAGCCGGAATGCGAGGTACGACTTAAAAATAAAACACTAATATAAAATAACAACAACCTGTTCATTAGCGTTCTTATTTCCTATAAATTCATAAACATCGCTAAGTGTATATTTAAATAGACTCAATAAAATGTCACACCCTAACGGCACAATCTAAAGACTACATAGCCCAGCACGGCGCGCTATGAAATCGAGGCAGCGTAAACAGTACTTCAGGAACATGAAAAGATCGGATGACAGTGAGAGGGAAAAGAGGAGAAAGGTATCGCTTGTAGTTTTCTCTCAGTTCGCCAACCACAACATGTAGTTGTGGAGTTTATAATACACCGTACAGCGTGTCCGTTGCGGTATTGCACGCGCTGGTTGGTGCTGTGTGTTCATTTGAAGTGCGCATGTGATGCTGCTGATTGCTTCTGTAATGTTTGCTTTCTTTTATCGCAAGAGTACTCTGTACAGAGTCACCCGGCACACACGAGTGTGTGTTGAGGCACAGCGCGGGGGGAGTGTTTTCTGATGACTGCCACACTGACTTTGCCGGAATGGCTTGTGTAGCGGCATTACACAGTGCTTTCAATGTTAATGAATGAAGTCAAGAAGAGAAGACGCGTGTCCATGTGTGTGTCACTCTGCAGGTGTATCTGCTAAAAACCAACTATTCCTAATTTATTTGACCAATTTATTGAAGCGCATGTGTCGTGTTTTCAGACTTGACGGCTGATTCATCCATGAGCTGGTCTAGAAATGAAATGGGCTGTGTTTTTAATTTAGCATACACTGTGTTATATAAATAACGGTTGTGGTGCAGCTGTATTTATCTGAACTTGTAACTTTTTCAGTCTGTCGTCATGGTGTGAGCTTGTTGGTCCTGAATGTACAGTGATATTAGTCTTTATCACAACATAAACCCTGGTTATGAAGTTTTTTTTTATCCCACTCATTACATGGCTCCTTAAAGGGACATAGAGAAATATTAATTTAAAGTTTTATTTTACAAACATCTCGCTTAGATGAACACCATATAACTTTCTGCATTCAAACAGTATACTTCTTATCAGTTCATGCATTCAAACCCATGACCAATACGAATCAAGTATTCCAGAGGATAATAGTCTTTTCTTTTAGGGTCAAAACATAATCAAGGCAATACATACCCCTTAAGTGAATTTCTTATTATAGGCTAATACATTGGTATAATTTGTTATATCCCATACCAGGTCTGTCCTAAAGTCATAAAGGATTATACTGTTTTTTCATATTGATAGAAAACAAATGTCCTTCTAAAGGGTACAGAATGCATCAAAAATCGAATCCAGGACCAAATATTGCCCCTTTAATAAAAGATAAAAGTAAATTTCTAGCAACTGTCTCTAATCATTGATGGAAGTAACGTTGCGTTTATTATTGTACTTGACAGGTTGACATGTCACTTTCTGATATTGTCTGCTGTTCTTTGGTTGATTGTCAAAATGCATACAATTAGTTGTTTTTTTGCATTTCAGCGTGTTTGATTTGTTAGTCGGCACAGTGAAGTTATCAGTTTAGTCAGTAACCTATTTCTCTTCAGTTCTCTTTTTCCTGAACCATACCATTCATTTCCCATGTTACTTTCTTTATTTTGTTCAGTTTTAGTCTGCTCTCTCTCTCTGATGCATGCTTTTGGATCATGTCTGACAGCAGGGAATCTATGGTGTGTGGTTCCTCCACTTTATTGCAGCTGCCACAGGGACCAGATGAATCTGTCTTTCTGAGAACTTGATCCAGCTAGTTTTGGGTCTGTACAGCAGACGGACATACAGACATCTCTGCTACCCTGCCAAAACTTATCTCTCTCCTTCACAAAAATACAGGGAACAGGGCAGAAAACCGCAGGTCAGCTAGACTGAGAGACTGGTGTGTGTGTGTATTCCTGCTGCATGTCCATTTAATCATTCATAATAATATAAAGGAGAGTAATTTTTTGTCTCAGCCATAAACGTGTGCATTTATACCCAAATACTAGCCTATAGGATGTAGCCTGTGAACTATCCTTCTCTGAAAAAGGAATTATATTTATTCTTAGTTCAGCTTTGCCAGGCATTTCCTAACCATATGCGGCACATGTGTATGATAAAAAAGACCACTTCCATTATCATGCACTAAAAGAGGGAGACTATTGGCTAATAGCCTATTAAAAACTGACTTCATGCTTTTAGAAGTAGCCTTACGTGGCCTTCAACCTGAAAATACTGTTTTAAATAGTTGATCAAGAGACATTGGATTGAGTTTCTGGTTTTAACGTTGCCAGGGTGACCAAATATCCCACTGAAGTATCATTCAATTACAAATGCAATTTTGGCCTCTTTATTGTATTTGCGGAGGGATGTGGGCCCTGTTGTTTTTCGTTCGACACAGTTATGAAATAGAAAAGTGCTCGTTTTTTTTCCTCCTTCCATCTGCCGAGGATGTTTTGCATTTCTTCGCACTCGCAACCTTGTTGGCATTCGCTGCTGCTTTTGACACCTTTGTTGATGACTGCCTGGTATTATGATTAGCTTTTACTGTGATGAATAGTGCATTTGATTAAAAAAAAAAAGTAGTTAAATAAATAAATAATGATTTCATTATTTCACAACAGAAGTGTACGTGAGGAGCACAGAGGGTTGCCAGATGTTCAGTGGCTTTCACTCCTCCCGTCCCATCTTTCAGAGAGTTCTCGGCTCATTGGCTTTCCCGGCTCGTGTGTTTTGCTGGAGAAAGCTGTTTAGGCTATTTCGTTCCTGAACACTCATTAAAATGTTTTGTGTTCCCCTTGGCGATTCTGTTAAATTAACAGCTAGCTTCAGTTCAGGCCTGATTATGAGGCCACACAGCCAGTCTTGATTAATCAATTTCTCCCACAAAATGTTCCTCTGTAAATTAGTGTTAAAGTAACGATTTATAGGTCCTAATGCCGAGCCGCTGTCATGTCGGAGCCGGTGTTTTAGCGGGAGGTGGTGTCACTTTTGGCGTAATCAGCAGCTTTCCTGCCCCCTCCCCTGTCGTTTTCCCCCTCTTTGTTCGTCACCGTATGCCTACGTCCTATTAATGAGTCCATAATAGAGAAACAGTGTCGGACAGCCACATAAAACACACTCAGGAATACATAATTAGACCGGCGTTCAAGCTGCGCTAGGGGCAGATTTATATCCGGTGATGCAAAAAGAAAGAAAAAATGAAAGAAAATACGGAGGCAGTGTAGTGTAGCTCATGATTTCTGATTCCTGAAATCTGTAAAGGATGAAAAAAACAGGCGAGGGGAAATGAGGGAGGGAGGGAGTGTTAGAAAAAATACTGCCACAGTTGATAATGATACCATTACACTAATGGAGGCAGCAAATGAAGTAGCAGGCGGACACTGTGCTTTATTGCCATAGGGGGTCGTTTTCTGCTGCATTCTTAATGGCTGGAACCGCTGGTATTGATCAGGCCATCATAGCGCTAATCCACACGCGCATTACTTACTGCCACAGCACCGTGTCAGTCTTTCCACTGCTGCCACCCACAGCCCACCCTGCTCCCTTCCCACAGGCCCTGCACAAGACCCCACAAAGCCTGTGATTTAAGGGTCGAGTGTTGGTTGGATGGTGGTCATTGAATGTCCCCTTAGCCAGTCTTTTGTTTTATGATACACAGAGGGATAGTGAGTGGACTCCGTGATTAAGTACAGGCATATGTGTTTGTTTAATTAAGAGGTAACGCATTATTGGCTCTTCTGCCTTTTTGATGGTTAGGTAGTTAGTCTGTGTTTGAGTTGAACCGTGAGTGTCTTTTCTAATGGTTTGGACCTGTAAATAAGTCTATAGGCTTATCCATATGCATTGGTGAAGCCATCTGCTAAATGGCAAGTAAAAACACCTGCCTTGCAAGATCCTTGATCAAGTGTTTTACTGGACTCCTGGTGAAAGTGTGTTCAATTAAAGAATGGCTGATATGACATCAAAAAAGAGGAAGCATTGTGTTTTCACACTTAAATTATCTTTTTTTTTAATTACTGAATTTATTTTATACAGGTATTGCTTTTATAGAGTTTTTTTTTTTTTTTTTAAATATGTAGCCTAAGTGTTTAATAAGTGTCTTTTTTTTACATTTATTATTGCATATGCAGCATAGGCTAACTCCTCAGTTATGCCCAAATTTCATAACTACCTTTCAAATGTTTTAAAAAGTCGCTTGTGCTCATGAATTGATAAAAATACAGTAAAAATTTAATGTATCTTTTCGGAATAAAAGTATGAATTTAAGTATTAATAAAATAATAATAAAAAAACGTACTGACCCGAAACTAATCAATGATATAAGCCTCCTGCACCGAGGTTTTATCTTATGTTCTTTCCGAACTTTTTTTTCTCATGAATGCTCCAGTTCCTTCCGTAAGCCCTTATAGCACTTGATGATGAAATCCGCTTCATCACTAATGGCTTAAAGCTCGATTAACATGTACCAACAGGCCTTACTTCAGCTCAGCCCTGTTCTGCTGTCATCTCCGCAGCCCCTGCCCTGTCTGAGCCATCAGTCTCGTTTTCCTGTATCAGCATATCGGCAATAACCTCTGCCCTCTGCTAATCAAACACTTCACCTTAAGGGAAACATTCATTCAGCTTTCTCATTATGATTGCTTCTGTGGTCATAAAGATGTATATTTATATTTCCCCACCTCGTTGCTCTGCTGTTGCAGGGAAACTAGATATTGATCTAGATATTTAGTCATTTCTTTCTGCTGGGACATCAATATTACGCTAACATGTATGCGAGCTGTGCTTGACCCTGGCCCCTGTCTCTATCCGTTCTCCCATTGGAGCTCAGTGATATACTATTCTGAAAAGCAAATCAATGAGTGAATATGAAGTTTGAGGAGTAATATAAGGCGACCCTGAGGCATATAGCAGCCGCATTGATCCAATGTGTGGATTAAGGTTGATTTGTTTGTTGTGAAGCTTTTCACCTTTAGATCATCAAGAGGTCCGAGTGTGTACACAAACGCACACACACATCACCTAAATGCCTTTATGGTTATTTCCTTAAGTTCCATTACATCTTATTTGCATTTACTAAGACTATTGACCATATAGGCTGATGTTCATGCTTTGTTGATCAGATAATCATGTGGGTTTGTATTATAGGCCCATATTATGAACATACCATTAGATGTCTCTTTATGGTTCTATTTAACAATGTCATTTTTATAAACGCATTCATTTCTGTTGAAGATGGGCTTTAGGATTTTGTTTATTCTTCTTAAAAGGG